ATTAAAATATAATTAATAGTTAGCTTAATTATTAGCTAGATGTTAGTTATAGTTAATACTAGTAGATTTTTTAGTAAATATTTTCTTATAGTAACGTAATAAAAACTAAGTAATTTAGCTATTAGAGGGCTTCTATACTATAAAAACTACTATTTAATTTTTTACTATAGCTTATAAAGATAGTAGGCTATAATCTAAGAGTTTTTTATATATTTTATAAGCTTAGATACTAATAATAGAGTAAGTAATTAGTATTTTTTTATAACTACTATTTATAACTGTATTTTATTTTAGTACTACTATATTAATATTATAAGCTTAATACTAAACTTTTTTATAGCTACGTAATATAAAAGTTAACCTTCTATATCTTATAAATTAATTACCGCAATCGCTTCTTCGATAGCTATTATAGTGGTGGAGATATCACGTGTTGAAAATGATGGGTAGATATTTTGATGGGGCGGCTGGTGTTGCATTGGCTGAACTGTTGCATTGGGTGAGCACGGACGGTACCCTTGTAAGACACTAGAACAAACTTGCACATTACCGAAATAAGTCCTGATGACAATATTTCATGCCACCTTTTGAAGGTTTTCTTTACTGGTATGAGTAGTCGTGTCTCTGACTTCCTCAATTACCGGATTTCTGCAAAGAAGTTGTTGTCGCATATGCAAGTAAGAACGTGCTGACTGTAAGAGCATTGTAACATTCATCCTTATCTTCAGTGAATTCTGTCTTCGTACTTGCTCAACTAGCCGGGCAAGACTCGAAATGGTCTGGCTCTTCGTTGCTGTTCTATTTGGGCTACAAAATTATGGGCATGGAGCCCCTTTGACGACCAAGCCAAGTTTCACAGTGGACCTGGGCTATACGATCCAAGAAGGACTACTGGAGGTGAGATTTGCTCGCCAAGGTTCTTCGTTGCAAAAGATCACCCCTAACTGCCACCTAGACTAGTCACGGAAATGCCCGTTATATCAATTTTACCAACGTACGTTATGCAGCTTCGCCGACTGGTTTGAACCGATTCAAATCTCCAGTACCACCTGAGAAAAACCGAACGACTCAGACAGCAGGTCTTTATGGAATTGAATGTCCCCAAGCCCAACCCGGTTGGTTCAACTATGTAGGATCAGATGTTGGAAACCAGACAGAGATGTCTTCTTTCACGGAGAATGACATCTACCCACCTCGGCCTGGTTCAAGCGAAGACTGCCTTTTTCTAGACATTCTGGTTCCAGAGCATGTATTCAATCAGAGAAATATGGCTAAAGCATCCGTCCTTCTGTTCATCCACGGAGGTGGCTATGTACAGGGCTCGAAGACGGAATACGGATCTGGTGTCGGGTTGTTGAATGCCGCAGCCCAGAATGACCAAGAACTCATATACGTGTCTATCAACTACCGTCTAGGACTGTTCGTGAGTATTGCTTGTGAATGTTGTGGTTAACATATAATTGCTGATACATCGAATTCGTTAAGGGCTTTCTTCCTAGCTCGAACTCGCAAATTTCACCCAATCTCGGACTCCAGGATCAGGTATTTGCGATGCAACATATTCAAGATCACATTCACCTCTTTGGGGGAAACAAAAGTGATGTTACCGTTATGGGCGAGTCAGCAGGGGCCGGGTCTATCCTTTACCATCTTACCTCACCTGAGGTTTCATCTCTTTCTTTGTTTCGAAGAGCGATTCTGCATAGTCCCTACACATACTTCATCTCAACTATGCGGCAAAAAGAAATAATCCATCAGGTTTTACGAGCCTCGAATGTATCCTCGTTGGTTGAACTTCAATCTCTGCCCACAGAGATCCTGCAGACTGCCAATAGTATCCTTGTGGGTAACTCTCGGCCTTACGGCACATTTGGTTTCGGTGAGTATTATGGTTCATCCTTCGAACCTCCAAAGCTGACGGAATCAAAATCATAGGCCCGATATTAGACAACGACCGCTACACGGAATACCCCCCCTTTCTTTTGCGTCGGCAACAGTTCGATCGCTCAATACAAGTAATGAGCGGCCACAACTCAAACGAAGGTCTCTTGTTCGCGTCTCCTTTCATACAAAACGACAGCCAATTCAACTTGAACATTGCACTCCTTTTCCCTCAAGCATCTCGAGCTGCGCTCTCGGTCATTGAGCAAATTTTGTACCCAGCCTTACTGGATGGCTCGTTCGGCTATGTGAACCAACAGGGCCGCATAGCTCGCGTGGTTGCAGACGCCACCATTACGTGTAACAACTATCTTCTAAATAAGGCATTTGAACACCTCAAGCCCAGCTTTGCTTACGAATTCTCTGAACCGCCGGCATGGCACGCCAATGATCTGGAATATACGTTCATGAACCTCAGAAACCCGGCAGCCGGACTGAACATCACTTTGGCCGTCATTATGCAACGTTACTTTGCAAGTTTTGTTACTTCAGGGTCGCCCAATCCAATAAATGGACGCTTCCTTCCTAGTTTTGCGTCGAACGAGGAGTTAATTGTCCAAAATTTCAATAGCACCTTGGTTGGGCCGGTTCTAGATACTACTGTCAATGTGTCGAAGTGCGATTGGTGGCTGGAAGGAAATTTTGTGAAGGCCATTTTCTAGATACCTCGGTATAACTTTTTTCATAACCTAGACCAAGAACATTTTTCAAGGCACGTCTAAACTTAGTAACATCCTTGACCGGTGAGGGATTCTCAACGTATTGGTCACATACATAGCGGTGCTATTCCGCCTAGTTGATCTGAATACAATGGTAGCAAAGCTCTGCACAGATATCGATTTCTTATCTGACATGGATCACTCATCTACTTCTCTTTTTTAGCATTTCTCTTTCTGCAATTCCTTCGTTCCAATGTCACTATTAACCAAGTTCTTTTCGCCTGCCTTTTGCCTGATTTCCGATCGTTGTTATTTGACTTCTGTATGACTAGCTACACACGCTTCTTCAATCTCACCATTAGAGAGGGTTTCTCCCATAAAGTATGCATCCTCGAATCGCGGTGCCAGTCGACAGTGTCATCAACCAGCTCCATGTCAAACCGGTAAATAATCTTCGCCATGATAGTTTGAAGCTCCATCCAGCCAAGACTATGAAAATCAGCACTTGATAACACAAACAGTAAACAGAAGAGACATACCTTCGTCCCATGCATGCCCGCGTTCCGTACGAAAAAGGCTGGCTTGCGTCGAGGTCATCGGTGCAGTCTTCGTCAGTCCATCTTTCAGGTCTAAATCTCCAAGGCTGACTGAAGTTAGCAGTCGACATGCTTGCCGCAAAAGTGCTTGTCGAAACAATGGTCTGCAGGTCCACGTTAGACGAAAGATCTTCGAAGAAGAACGTCAGACGTTCGTAAGTAAACGTACTCCACCTGGTATAAAATAGCCATCGACAGTACATCCGCCCGGAGGAACGACCCGGGGGAGCGCGAAGGGAAGAGGAGGATATATGCGCATGGCCTCTTTAAGGGCCGCCTTGAGGTACTTGAGAGGAGTCGTGGTAGCTGCAGTAATATCTTCGTATCGAGTAAACGATGACCGTACTTCATTCTGCAGTTGTGAAAAGACAGAAGGATTTTGAAGCAGATAGTAACTCAGGCAAGAAAGCGTCGTAGCTGTTGTTTCACTGCCGGCAATGCTTTGATTATTCTGTTAGAATGGCGGGTGGTGTTATAAGAGTTTATAATACGTACACAAAGTCTGAAGAGTGAGCAGCGATCTGAGAATCTGAAATGGATTCTTCTTTGCGTGCTTCGATCATCTTAGTGAGGAAATCTGCGCGGTCTGAATGAGTTGCTAATCGACTAGTTCCAAGTCAGATATGGTGACAAGTGAGTGTCTATTGAAATTGAAGACGTACCTCTGCACTAAGTTCATGGTATACTTCTGATGCTTACGATTTTCCGTCATTAACTTCTCGATGAATCGTGAACATATTTTTTGCACAACAACAGAAACTACCGGAAATCTACGGAAGCAATCGGCGAGCGCACCTAAACGCAGGCTTTTCGTCACGATGGCGACCCAGAAATGCTCTTTTCCCGCTTCAACGCCACCGAAATCTTTTCCGAATGCAAGGCTGCCGATGATGTCGAAGGTGACTAGATTGAACCACATGACCATATTCGTACCGTGTGGACCACGGCCGGCTTCCTCGAGCTTTTCAATAAGCCGGTCTACGCATTCTGCAATTAGAGGCTCCTGGGACTTGAGAGAACGGTCCGAGAAAGCACTGTTGAGATAACGGCGCATCTCGGCATGCTTCCTGGGATCACGCTCGCTCACAATGGAGAGCGACTCTGAGGCAAAGTTGCCTCCATCGTAGAACTCACTTTTGACGAACGGCTCTACATCCTTCCGGGGGCCGTATATATCACGCCATGAAGAAGATGAGCTGAAGCTTAGCTCGTTGGGTGCGACGCGAACAACAGGCCCTACAAAAAGTGAGCCGCGTTCTGGCAAGGATAGTAGGAGGTTGAATTACCATATTTTTCATGTAGTTCAAGTTGCCAATAAGGCTGCCTGCCTCTCATAAACTTCCATGAGTACAGAATCTAAGCCAGTTTTGTCAGAATAGAGTTCTTCTATGATCGTGCATGATTCAATGTGAATGGTGAAGTACTTGCATTGCTGAAAGATGCTGAGACTGGGCCCGGAAATTTCCTCAAGGGGTGAAGAAACCAAATCGAAAGCTTGTATATCAGCCCAACGGCTAATACCTAGGTTCATTCAACATCTCCTGTCGCAGTTATAGGGATTATGATTGGGAAATTCACCAAAATGACGATTGCAAGCTTCATTCCAATATCTTGATGTCTTGAGTTGTTATCCAAAGATTGTAAAAACCGACGACATGTACATTGGCTTGGATGAGATTTAATCATTTTCGGTTGATGTTGGTTCGACCGGATTGAACCCATCATGGTAGTTCGGATAATTCCAGAATCGGTACAGGCCGAGGCCCCACTGTCAGCCCGTGTCTGGTGATGGTTCGCTTGACGACTCGATTGCAACAACGTTATTAAACCTCCCCTTGGGGTTTTGACACTGAGAGTAACTATTCCCTACCGGTCGGACCATTCATTGACAACAGAGGTTTAAACCGTCAAAACATCTCTTGAGCGGCACCTGAAAGCTGCACTTGGAAGCTGCACTCTGACCCTGTTATGCCGTCCGCAATCATGCTACCCAAGGTGGATGTTAAAGTCACCATGACGGAGCGCGTATTCCCTCAAAAGCCAATGCAGCATGAACACGCAGTTCCACTGTCGCTACTGGACGCGACTACCGCCAACTTTGCCCTTACAAACGCTATTTGGCTCTTCGAGCCACTCGATGAGAAGGCTGGAGTGAACGTCGCCGTGCACCTCCGCCAAACACTCAGTGCTGCGCTTACTTCGTATCCTCAGTGGGTCGGCCAGCTGAAATCTATCGCTGTCGTCAACGATGCATCGGTTCCAGCTGAAGCGCAAGAGTTCCCAGCCCACGCCCGTCGCTTCGGTCGTGTGTACGCACATTTCGGGGCCTCTGCAGACGTCGGTGTAGAGTTCATCTCTGCAACAAGCCCTGCCACCACGGACTCACTATACCCAACGGAGCGCGTTAGGACCCAGCCACTTTGGGATCGCAAGGACAACAATCTTGTTAGATTTGTGCCTACTACCGATATTGCGCTTGCTCTACAACCTAACGAGCCCGATGCCGTAACGAGATTGCGCAAGCCGATCATGGCTATCCAATGCACCACATTGTCAGATGGTGGTTTTGTCCTCGCTGCCAAAACGGCGCATCCTTTCGCGGACATCACTGGCCTTATCCGTTTCATCAAGGACTGGGCCAGTGTGAGTAGTGCCGTCATCAAGGGTCTCGCAGCCCCGGCCCTGACTCCTATCTTCGAACCGGCTCGTTTGGACAACCTTGCTGCAGGAGACATAAACGCTGGGGAGTCGGATCTGGCTATAATTAGACGAACTGAACGTTTACCCATGCACAGATATGACTGGTGGGCTGCGCCTGGAAAGCCTCCCACGCCGTTCCTCGATGCGGCCAATTTGGTCTCACCAGCAGGCAAGCCTATGCCATGGGCGGAATGGGATCTTAAGGTGCCTGTTTCAGACTATACCATTCATCTCAACACAGCGCAGGTCGATTTTCTCTTGAAAAAAGCTGCGAAATACACTGACAGTGATGGCCAGAGAATCAGCAAGCATGATGCTGTGTTAGCACACATTTGGTCCTGCATTGTGCGTGCACGTCAACTCGGGAAAGATGACGGCCCCGTGTATTGTGATCTTGTACTTGGCGTTCGATCTGCTTTGAAGCTAGGTGAAGGCTTTTTGGGTTCGCCAATCATCATGATGAAAGTTGAGCTGCCGGGCTCTGAGGTTGGCTACGAACAATCAAATACCGTTAGTACCGCAGCGATAGCTCTCATTGCCCGAAAGATTCGGCATACGATCTCTACTATCAGCGACCCAGCCAATCTCGCAGATCATCTTCATAGCGCTGCGTACGAGAAGTCCCCTCAGCGTATATGGCAGGCGTTCCTTGGCCGGCGTCATATCCTTGTGACAACTTGGGCGCGCGCTGGCATCTACGATGTCGACTTCGGTCTTGGATCGCGCATACGATACGCGGACGGCATCGTGCCGAACTTGGACGGCAATGTTCTCATTAAAGAAGCACCTCCATCTTCCAGAGAGTTCTCTTCTGCATCTCGGGCATCCTGGACCGACAGCGGGGTGGATATCTCTGTCCATATTTGTACTGAGGATATGGAGCGATTGCTCAAGGATCCTTTCTTACTGCCGCCCCTTAGTTAGACAACTTAGGATCTCTTCAGCCCATTTGAAATCAGTAGTTTCGACAGTCCGGCCGGCGATGCTAAAGGGGGGTGCAGCTTAAGCTCTAATCTCAGCATCGCCAGCTAGGCTATTAACACGACTAATCAAGGGCGTGCCTACGGCCCTTACTCTTTGCCTTCAGCAGTTCCTATAGACAGGTTATCTTTATTACTTTTTTTCTAGCTATTATAGCTTGTCTAGCGAGTTTTTTAAGCTTATATTTGAGCCTGTTCCCTATCTACTTATTTAGGCTAGTTTTCTAGTTATAATCTCTGCGTTCGTTACGTGACTAGCGCTGTCTAGAAACGAGAATTTTAAATACGTTCGTACGGCTAATCAGTCTGTAGCTTCTTAGTCGTAATAGATCTTCTTTCTCCTTTTAAGAGAATCTTCTCTTAAATATAATATGTAACGTTGTGGATAAGCGAGCGCCGCAGGCAAGCGAGCGCCGCACCCTAATAACTTTATGAACCTTTCTACGTATA